CCACCAGATACAACAGTTTTAACGGATCATTATCTGCCGTAGACCTAACCTTATCCTCTTCTAATCTAATACCTTCAATGGAATGGCAGGTCCTAACTTCTTATAGTGGAAGTGATCACTGGCCTATAGAAATTCATATCCAGAATAAAAACACTTCATATGATCCCCCTTTCAAATGGAACCTCTCAAAACCAAACTGGAAACTTTTTTCCGAACTCGTAGAACATGATTTGATTTTAAATCCAATCGACCTAAATGTGAACATTACCCAAGAACATATTGATTCCATTGTTAATAACTTCTCTAACATAATACTCAAAGCAGCAAACATAGCAATAGGTTTTAAGTCAAGTAACTACAAACGCAAAACGACTCCCTGGTGGAATTCCGAATGCAACAACGCTATTAAAAAATATAAACAAGCACTTAACCGCTTCAAAAAAACTAAAGACCCGTCAGACCATATTCTCCTAAAAAAATCAAGAGCAGAAGCTAGATTTATCACTAAAACAAGCAAAATACTATCTTGGAAAAATTTTACCTCGACCATCAATCACAAAATAGACCCAGCAGCATTATGGAACAAAATTCGAACATTAAAAGGATATAAATCCCCCCCTACTCCAGATCGACTGAGAGATAATCTGAACAAAATATATTCATCCTCGGCCAGCGTCTCGGAAGCGTTCGCCCAATTTTTTCAAAAAAACAACAGCAACCAAAATTACTCTGATGAATTTTTAGCACACAAAAATTCTTATTCATCATTACTGTTAGACTCCACATCTACCAACGATCATTGTTTTAACCTTCCTCTAAACCTAAGTGAACTTCTATCAGTCCTTCAAAACAGCAAAAGTAAAAGCCCAGGGCCCGACAATATACCTAATTCATTTATTCAAAACCTTCCCGAAAATGGACTCTCGACTCTTCTCCAGATCTTCAATTCAATATGGACACAGGGTACCTTTCCAAACCAATGGCGGAGTGCAACAGTAATCCCCATCCCAAAACCGGGAAAAAACAAATTTGAAATTCACAACTATAGACCCATATCCCTTATAAACACCATGAGCAAAGTCCTGGAAAAAATCATTAACAAGAGACTTATCTGGTTCCTTGAATCGACAAATCGAATCTCAAACCAACAATGCGGCTTCAGACGTAATTATTCTACCATGGACAACCTATCTTCACTCCACACAGACATCTGTACAGCATTCAAAAGCAACCAACATCTCATTCTGATTTCACTCGATCTGCAAAAGGCATACGACATGGTATGGAGAGACAGAGTACTATCGACACTCATAAAATGGGATATTAATGGTCACATGTTTAAGTTTCTATCAAACTTTTTAACCAATCGCTCGTTTAGAGTTAAAATCCAAAATACCCTATCCAACTCACATTATATCGAGAACGGTCTTCCACAAGGGTCAGCCCTCAGTGTCTCTCTCTTCTTGGTAGCTATAAATGACATTGGCAACAATCTTCCCTCTCCCGTCAAATACAAACTCTTTGCAGACGATTGCAACATATATTGCAGTGGAACAAGCCTAGCAACCTCTTCCCAACTCTTACAAGAGTCTCTAAACACACTTGCCTTATGGTCATCCAAGACCGGCTTTATTTTTTCCCCTTCAAAAACTCAAGGCATCATATTTAATAAAAAAAAAAATTCACCGTCTCCTTCAATTACCTTGAACATGACACAATTAAATTTTTCGGAAAACTTACGCATCCTAGGACTCACCTTCGATCACAAACTGTCATGGAAAACACACATCAAAAAACTAAAAACTAGTTGCATGGGTAGAATGAACATTATTAAAACTTTATCAAACCTTTCATGGGGTTCTGACCAGAATAGCCTCATATTAATATACAAATCATTAATTCTCTCACTCATGAATTATGGTTCGGTCATTTATGGCACTGCCAAAGCTACGACACTCTCCTCACTTGATCCGATTCACAACCAAGGAATTAGACTAGCCACTGGCTCTTTTAAAACTAGTCCAGTGGCCAGCATATTATGTAATGCCGGAGAACCTCCTCTGCAAATCATTCGTGACAGTAACACGATTAAATATATGATCAAGATTTCAAACCAGCCAAAACATATATCCTTCTCTAACTTCCACCAAAATTTTCCATATACTAAAGCGAAGACTCCCACTACAATCTTTGAAAACTTCAATCGAATAAAAAAGAATATTAATCTTAATATAGATTTAACCAAGAAGTCCCTCTTTCCTATACAAGCGCCTTGGACTTGGTCCCCGGATATTAATACGGATCTTCTCAAATATAACAAAAACACAACTGCAAACTCGTCCATAGTTGCCCTATTCTACGAATCTGTTGAATTCTTATACTACGACTACACACTTATCTACACAGATGCATCTAAAAGTATTAACGGAACAGGTTTCGCAATAGTGGACGGCCAGCATGCTAAAACTTTTCGACTTCCTTCATTCTCCAGTATCTTCACAGCGGAATCCTATGCGTTATATATGGCAGTCCAATTCGTCGTACAATCAGACTATAAGTATTCACTTATAATAAGCGACTCTCTCAGCGCCCTTATCTCACTACAAGACCATCATCCTCAAAATGAAGTAATCCAACTTACCAAAGACCTTATCTCCTCATCGAAAAACAAAATTAAGTTTATGTGGGTCCCATCCCACATAGGTATCCCCGGGAACGAAAAAGCCGACAAGATGGCGAATGAAGCAGTTACATCCACAACCTCTACCATCATAAATAAAATTCCGAGTAAAGACCTATTAAATGAAGCCCATAAACGGATTATAAAAACATGGCAAAATCACTGGGATTCAATTCCCTCCAGTAACAAACTCAGAAACATAAAAAAATCTATATCCAAATGGGCATATCCAGAGAACGCATCAAGGAGAGAACAAATAGTTATAAACAGATCCAGAATAGGCCATTCCCATATCACGCACTCATATCTGATAACCAAGGAAACCCCCCCCTTGTGTGACACATGTAAAACTCCCCTTACAATGGCACACATCATTATTGTCTGCCCCAAATTCTCAACCGCACGTTTCCTGCTCAACAATCCAAGGTCAATTGAAGAAGCCCTCAGTCAACAGAACTCCGACAACATTTTCAAATTTTTTAAAAAAATAGAACTTGACAAAAAACTGTAAATATTATAATGTACAAACTTTTTAATTTCAGGCTAATAATCTGTGTAATTGAAGCCTTTATGTTAATAAAAAAAAAAAAAAAAAAAAAAAAAAAAAAATTACTTTTATAATTGTGGAATCATCTATTAGATTATATTAATTTAGTGTAATCATTATTAAAAATATTGGCAATTTTATTTGCATCTTTTTATATTTAAAGAATGACCAAATTGGCCTTTTATGTGGATTATAACATGTTTTTGTTTAGTACGATTAGATGCTGTATTGATTAGTTCCCAAGATCGTTTATTATTATTTCCGTTTGTATTACAAGTTGTATTAAATTATTTCTAAACTTAATATAAAATTGTTTGAGTTTAATATTATTGGGATGTAATATAGTATTAGTCGATGATTTATAAAAGTATACCAAAAAAAAAAAAAATATTGAATTGATATTATTTTATCTACAGGATAGGATAGATATTTATTATTTAAAAATAGTATTATTTTAATGACCTTAACTACCATTCGTCTTTTAGCAAATAATTTTAAACCGTTATTTTTTTGCACAAAGCCTAAGTTTTTCACCAAATTCTTGAAAGACTTTGAATATATATACTTAATAATATTATATTTTACCTGGTTACACGGTTCCAGTCTATGTCGACTAACAGATATGTAGCTTTTAACCAGCTTTTTTTTTGGTCCAGAGTACTTAGGGTTTCTCCATCTGGTATAGAACTTGGATCGTATCGCTCAGGATGTGTTCCAAATCTGTTTTTTTTTTCGTTGAAGTTCTTTGATGATGTACTATAATTTTGTGGTAATAAGCCCCTCTGTTTCAGCTCTTGTCGTTCTTTTCGTTTGATATAATATATGTGTTGTAAAAGTTGTTTTGCAATATATTCTGTATTGTCTTCAAATTCTTTATTTTTTAAAGCATTTGGAAACTTTCCCTCCAACATTCTTCCAACCTGTCTACATTCACGAAGTCCAGGATTACTAAAATATAAATATAAATAATTTATAATATGGTAAAATAATTTAATAATAATTCCAAAAAAAATAAATTTACCTCATAACGTCAAACATGTGGTTGGACACCGTTTCAATTACATGAAGTCTCTCGTCATTACGTAATGAACCTTTCTGCAAAGCCTTTCGTATCGATTTTCTGAACTGCGGTATTGTGAAGCCAAATACAGAATTTGACTGCGGTGTAGGGGACTTTCCAAGTTCTGCAGATGAAGAAGAAACATTATGGATTGCAGATTGTGTATCAATACTTTCATTCATCGTAACATCTGAAATTTTTAAATAACATATTAAATCAATTATGATTATCTTTGCTTGGACTAATCAATAAACTATACCTTTTGACAGTTCTAGTTGTAACTGACGACACTGGATTATTTTCATAATACCTTTCAAATCATTTTCAAAATTGAATAACTTTAAATCATCCAAACAATTTACACCTAATTCGTTTAGACGTTCAACTAAAATTGGTGCATCTTCTGGTAACGATAAATATGGTCTACACTTATTTAGAACTAGTTGCATTCTAAATGTTGTTGACACTGGAGATGGATCTTCTAAGCTCTCATCATTACTATTAAAACTATCCATCTTTAAAATAACAAAATATACTTAGTAAGAAAAAGGAATATACAATTTTATTGTTAGGTATGATTCTATATTAAAATATAATGTTAGAATCTAATGAAAAAAAAAAAATATATATAAGTAAATATAAAAATAAACAAATTGATTAACATAATAACTTCATAAATATTGTAATATAATTTAGGGTGAGAATTAGGTATTTTATAAATTGATTATATGTTTTAATACTATTACAGGACGATCTTTATGTGTGTATATTGAATATGATGTGTAATCTTTTAGATTTGAAAGTGGAATAATAATATAGTTATCACTAACACTTAATACATAAATTTGAAAATCATCGTCAAGGATGCCATCACATTGAATCCCTATTGCATAAACTTTTTTACTTTTAATGCAAAAAAGTTTAAGTTTGCAAATATCTAAATTTGTCTTAGAGCCAATAACAATGCATTGATCTTTACAATATTGAGTTCCACGGTAAATAACTTCTGTTCCAAAATGCAACGAATTTAACTCATCAACAGAAAATATAGATACGAGGCATTTCATTATATTATTGTCATAAGTAAATTCCTCGAGAGTATTAGCAGACTGTATGACCGGACTGTTGTAAAACATTTCGTTTTTTGTCAATGCACTTTGGTAGTATTGATGCTTTGTACTGATGGATTTGGTCACATTCTTAAAATTTCTTGATGTCCGAACAAAGTTTTTACAGAACACATGTTTGTGTTCAAATGACAACGTGTTAACGCCCATAAGTGGCCCAAAAACTTGTATAAGTTGTGGATAGTGTTCCAAGTAATGATGTTTTGGACGAAGAGTAACTTCAAAACATTTTACTCTAATACTAAGGTATTTTTTTATTAGACTGTCTAAATGAAATAATAGCTCATTACATATTGATGGAGAACATATTATCCCTACAACTTGAATAAGTATTGTTATCATTTTCCAGACATCATCTTTTCTATTGATTTTATCACCAATAATTAAGGGAATAAACCTTAAAAATACCCAATTTTGAACAGCATGTCCGCCTATATTATAGCCTTTAATAGGAACTCTTGATGGTTTATCTAATTTTTCAAGTACTAAAAATGCAAAATTATCTATTTTGCGGTTTATGATTTCTTTTTTTAGTTTATATACTTTTTCAAAGTATGTCAAGGCTAAATATAAATCGTATTGTACAATTCCTTCAAAAAGATCATGAGCTAAACATGGAGGCATTGTATTGACGACATGAAAATTATTAATTTCATTGAAACGTGAATTACTCACAACACCACGAAAACCATTAGGATTGATATCCAATTGAGTCACACAAAAATCATAGGATTCTCGTGTACGACCAGGAGCTTGTGTGCGTGGTGTAGGTTGATTGTGAGAATTCTCCGAGTTATTTCCATCAACATCATCATGCTCAACATGTTGGCTATCTTTATATGCTAGTAGCCAATTGTCTCTAGATTCCTCACAGTAACGACAGAAGTATTTAGAGGTACTAAAATTCTCAGTATAACCTCCAATACCATGACTACCCAAATTATCTCCTAGTATTACAATTAAATTAACTTTAATAAGTTGGCCTCTTACATATATTCCGGTCTGTTCCAAATCTTTTAGCTCTGAAATTAATGGTTCAAGCACTTTATTAAGACCAAAATACCTAACATCAACTTCTTTACATAATAAAACCATCTGCATGTGGTCAGTACTGGTTCGACACCAAGGATGTAAATTAGCAATTGTATAGTAGAAGTTATGGAGTTTAAATTTTCCTTTAGCAGATCCCAAAGGATTAGCTAAATTAATTTCATCTTGGTAAAGGATAAGTTGTATTGCTGTTGGATCTTTGGTAAATATAGGATGATTTTGAAAAAGAGATCCATCATATATATCTTCAATTAAATTTAGTGAAGGTGAATAATTTTGTCTATTTGTGTACTGCTCAAACACAGAATCAAATTTAAATAAATTTTCTAACGATGATTTTATGGGTATGTAATGATATTGACAAGGTTTATTACTCCCATTTAAACCCAGATTGTATCCTATAGGTTTAATATAGGGAAAAAGACGCGTGTACTCTTTTTTCCTTTTAAAATCTGAACCCATTTTTCCTTTTGAACAGTGTAATTCAATTAAAGGATGTTGCTGCATAACCATTTTTACTATAGGTTCAATGTCTGTCTTATTATATCCCTTGTCATAAAATGCACTTATCATTTTTGTTTCCACCAGCTGATTGGACTCATTAATCAGAACACGATATTTTTCGATTATAAACTGCAGCGTTGAGTTTGGTACATTATGCTTCGAATATAAAACCAGATATAGATGGGCAAAAGCTGTAAGTAATTCTTCTTCTTTGATTGTACTTATGTCTACATTATCATCATCCAAAATCATAGTTTCAGTACTAGATACAGGGACCGAAGGTTGATCATTAAAAGAATTTACTTTTTCTAAATTAGTTTTTCGGTGGTTTCGAAAAACATGGGAACGAAGTGTGGATTTATTTTCGGTACAGTAATTACAATTGTAATGAGTACATTGAAACATTTTACTACTCTGGTTATTATCTTCATCTTCGTCGGTATCAATATTCATAGATTCTTTATTGTGAACTTGTGAAATATGAGTTTCTAATCTGTTCAAAGTGGAAAAAGTTACTGGGCAGTCTTGAAAACCACAATTTACACTGGGCACCCGTTTAACATTGTGATGGAGTAAAACATGATTGAATAATTCTTTTCCTGAAGAAGTACAATATAAACAATGCTTGCAGGTCAACTCCATTATTAACTCTTATTGATGGTTTTGATCAACAAACTAGACAATATTAAAATGAATTATTTACTGTTAGGTATATAATAAATACCCAATAATAATCAAAATATAGGTACTAAGCACATATTATAACTTACATTGCTTACATTACTTACATTTTTATGTAATACATAATTAACAAATTATACTAGTAGGATATGAAATATCAACAAGTCATAGGTACTACAATTTAAACAATACCTACTTAATAAATTGTTTAGTTTTTAACATAATATAACTAAGAACAATAATAACTAGGGTTTATCTTATTTTAGTTTTACTGTTCATAAATAGGTATAATAATATATATAAATTATATATGTAGGTACAGGTGTACTGTATATTATGTAGGTACCTATGTAGACGTTTTTAAGAAATATTTAACAATTTATTAGGTAGGAACCTAATACCTATGTGACTAAAATTAAAAATTAATTTTCTTTAATGTAAATCCATTAGCTTAATAATTATTTTTATATTACTATGTTTATACAATATCATACCACAAAAACTATTTGCAATGTATTCTGAAATTGATATAGGGAAAAGACACCAGTGAATGCCACTACCTACCTAATATAATATGTATTAATTGATCCTTACACAAAAATATCCGTTACCTATATAATGATAAACTTTTTTTTTCTAATAGATACCTTGGTAGAGGAGTGTTGTACCTTAGGGCCATTTTTATTAAATATCCCCCAACAGCTCTAATTGTAAATGCATATTAAAAATAATGTAGATAGGTATAAGAAATCTATACCTATAAACAAACCATAAATCAATTAGGTACATATAATATAATCAGACACAAAATAGTTTTAGGTACCTACCTATTTAAAAAAAAAAAAAATATGGTCAAAGGTAAGACGTATGATGTACCTACCTTGGTATTTACATTGAAATATATTATATAGAAATGGCACCACCTTATGAACTTCTATCACAAATTTAAATGTTGAAAATTAAATTTAAAAAAACCATAAATCGTTATACTTATGACGTTATTTAGATAGGCGAAATTAAATTTTTATATTATAAATGTATGAGTGATTTTATTGTTCAAACTTCAGATATATTCCAATGTCGTAGAACTAGCAACTATAATTTCTAAAATTTCTTCCACAAATTAATTCTTTACCAATTATTAAGGAAGAAATAAGCACCAAGATACATGCGGCCGAAGGTACAACACTCTTCCCTTTCCCCTATTGATTTGATAATGAAAAGTTCAAACTGTTTAACATTTGATCTTTGGATAGAGAAGCAAATAACTTTTATTTAAGATAAATTAATATAATAGTCATTAATGGATATACCTATGACTGCAACTTTGTTTTTAGAATGTTAACATAATAACACTAAACACTTAACGTTTGACGCAAAATGTTTTATAATGTTTAAACTGGCATCCACTGCAGTGCTTTACCTTGATCTATCGATTCTATTATTCTATCGTGTTTTATGCATAAAGTAATAGGTACCTTAATGTTTTTTTTCTAAGCCAAATGAAGAATTGGAAAATTATAATAATAAAATAAACATGAGTTCGAGTTTTATACTTACATCCTGCATTTGTCTTGTCGTCTGGATATTATGTAAATATGTAATGACTAAAAGACGAAATTATAAACGATTAATATAAAAATATAACGATTTATATAAAAATATAACGTCAACGGCGTACGCGTAGGTACATCAAAGGTTCGGAATCACAGTATTACACCACTACACACTACACAGGCATAGTCAACAGAGAACACTAGAACAGGCAACAGTAACTGTAACGCAGTAACGCACTGACTAATAAAATGTAATAATCGTAATTAATCGAGTATCAACGACTATCGGTCGTTATTACTTATTATTATCATCACGCAAACCCGCATTACCCGAAATCGGAAATAATATACTAAAATAATACTTACCTATGACTGGCGGGCGGCAGGGCGCGCTATCTTTGCAACATTGCATACGGGTTGTACACACAAATATTAGGTAATTATAGCCAATAGGCATGCTATTATTATTTATTATTATTATCACCAAATAATAATAATTGTAAACATGATTTCGGGAAAAATATAAATACCTACACTAAAAGCAGCCTAATAAAAATCCGAATTATAATAATTTGGTTAATGGTTAAATGTTTCGATTGTTACGTGTATATCAATCGAAATCCCAAGTGATCAAGTGTGTCAAAATAGGTACTCAAAACCTTAAGTAAATAAAAAGACTAATAGTCAATAGACTCTACAACACAATATATTATGTAGATATAAGATTTGTCTACTGCATAGTCGTATCAGTTGTCGACCAGGCGCGTACACAAAAAAAAAATTTGGGGGGGTTTTGCTTGTACCTTTTCAAAAATTTTTAACTAACAAATAATAAACTTATTTCCTGAAATTTCGGGGGGATTTGAACCCCTAGAACCCCCCCTTGTATACGCGCCTGTTGTCGACTTCTATTTACCTGTCCTATGGCTTACTTGTATCACTATTTTCACATTTCAATGCAATGTTTAAAATCATTGATGAAAATTGAAAACATAAAAAACATTGTAGAACACTATTATTAGTAGAAAAAATGCTCCTATATTCCACTTTGACTGAGCCACCAAGGTTTCTGGTAGCAAATAAGATCAAAAATACTTTGGGAAGTCAATAAGTCATAGTAGACATTTGTTAGTACTTTTTAAAATAATTAGGTATACCTACCCGTCATGTTAGGTACTTGAACTCAAAAAATAATTAACTGAAAAAGATCATAATAATAAAATGAAAATAATAATATTAATATCTAGAGCGAAATATTATTTATTTAACAATAGTAGTAATGTACTAATAAATTAGCATTAAACTATTTAAATAATAAAGTATAATCATGTAAGTATATAATAATGAGTAATGACTAATGTATAGTTGGTAGTAATTTTAAATATTATGTTGATTATTAAATAATAATTTATAATATTATACGACATTTTGATGTGTTGCATAGCCGCCAGTCTTGGGTAAAATAATTTTTAAAAGTATTTGAAATAAATACTCGAATACTCATGAAAAATAGTATTCTACACTATTTCTACACTATTCTTAAGCACAGTAACCAAAAAATTAATTTTTTTCCAGATAGAATATCATCATATTTTTGTTTGAGTGACCAAAATACATATGTTTATCCCTTGTAATACTACCCAACACTGATAGCTGCATAGGTACGTACTTGCATACAAACTACAAAGTTTACCTATATAATGTTTAATGGGTAGTTTAATGAAACTGAATAAATGTAAAATATTAGGTACTACTATTTGATGTCTATAAAGACTAAATTACCATCTATAAGGCACTAAATGTTTTGATATGAATCTATGCATGGAGACTCCAAACATATTTTAAAAAATTACATACAAAAATCAAAAAAAATCAATTAAACAAATAAATGTAATATATATTAATGAATTATTATTTTCTAATGAATATTCTTAATAGTCACTGGATAATTAACCCATAGATGAAATATAATATTAAATTTGGCAATTTTGTATTATGTATATTGTTTTCTAAAATAGGTTCGTTAGACATTAAATGCATTACTCAACATTGTCTTAAAAAATATGATACCTACATCTTTATCAACTAGTATTGCAACATATACAACAGATCTGATATTATATTATTATATACCTAGTTACTTATTTATACAATTTAACTATACTTAGTATATTTACTAAGTTGGTATTTCTGGAAACAAGGATCTATGTTCACTGTTCAGGGTATGCATACCTCCTGTGCACGTCTATTATTATTTATCAGTACAGGTATTGTAAAAAAATTCTTTTAAAATACTATTACAATTTATTTATTAAACACTGTTCAGTCAACGCTTGTTTGAGGGTTTTGACAACTAAATTTAAATTACTTAGGTAGCCAGTTAGGTACCAAATTTAAATAGTACCTAATAATAGTAATACCAAATAGTTCATTATTGCACCTACACATAATAGGTGCATATAGAAACTTGTTTGTTGCTTTACCTTAATATTTTATTAACTAACATTATCTGTTTATTATATTATATTTATTATCTATTTTATTATATTTATTATTGTCTGTCTACCAATAATTAATATATTCAAATTTAAAATAACTATCAAGATGAATCACATTTTATTGATTAATGTTTTATTATTTAATAATTACAATAAAATTATTATGTACATATCAACCCCTCCTAAATTTGTTTTTGTGTATGTGCCTGCTAGGTATCGCTGACCGCTGCTGTTCGTACATTTTTTTAATTTGAGTGGACTGGATAAATGTATAATCGTATAGGTACCTAATAAACTCGGGAAGGGGAGAGGACTCGCCTATTTATTATTTGTTACCATTATCGTGCCATCGTGTGTAAGGGCCAAAAAAGTATTTAGGGGGGGGGGGGCTGAGCCCTCCCTAAAATAGCACTTATGCGTGACATTGATATCAGAAATTAAAATTTACACAGACATGTTTGTAAACTTTATTTACTTATGTGACTATGACAAATTTACCAATGTTTTTATGTACAATTTAATTTACTTTGATACCGTTTGTATATTTAAAGACAATCGTAGTTGAAATGTGCACACAAATGTATACAAACAAAATTTCCATACGTAGTTGTGATAAATTTACTTACATTTTACACATAAAATTAATTTATTTGAAAACCTTTGTTTATTTATACAACATTTTCAGTTGAAATTTACACACAAATGCGTGTGAACATTGTTTACCTAAATATTTGTGACAAATTTACTAATGTTTTATGTACAATTGAATTTACTTTGATTACATTTGTATATTTAAGGGCACTCGTAGTTGAAATACGCACAAAAATGTATACAAACAAAATTTACATATGTGATTGTGATAAATTTACTAACATTTTACACATAAAATGAATTTAGTTTGAAAACC